GATCACAACCCCTGTAACTTTATGGGCTTCTGGGTACTGGGGGCTCCACACTTCCACTAATACACACACTCCATGCTTATGAAGTTCCCTTACTTTACCACACACGTAGCGTTAGGTTACTTCCTCACTCTGGCAACCAAATTTCCAGGAAACATCTGGAATAATATCAGAAAGCTGGTATTTGATCAAAACTACATCCTCAACTTTATTCATTTGGAAATGACTAATTTCAACCCTTAGGTTTGAACTGAGCACAGATGGATGTGTGTTTCAGGAGTTTGCTAGCACTTTCTAACAGGGGCAACACATCATCAATGAGAACTCTGAAACAGTGCCCACCTCCTCTGCTCTAGGACAGTGCTCAGCAAAGTCATTAGTCAACAGAGCCAAATATCAACAGTACAACGACTGAAATTTCTTTTGAGAGACAAATATTTTAAACTTAAACTTATTTTGGAAAGTAGTCCTGTAGATGAGTGATTTCCAAATCCCAGGTAATGGAGAATGGCTGCAGAATCACTTGATAAACTTATTAAAATAATTCACAAACCACAACCGCCATTTCTTTAAAATAGACTCACCCAGGCCATGGTATTTTGTGGAAGAGCCACACTCAAGGGGCCAAAGGCCCGCATGTGGCTCGCGAGTCGCAGTTTGCCGAACACGGCTCTAGGAGAACTATGGAGGTACTGCACAGCACTGTGAGTACTGTTCCGGGTTTTCCAACAATCCTAGGTAACTACTGATGACTCAAAGTAAACCCCATAGTTCCTCAAACAGAGTTAGCTCAGCTTAATTTTTTAAATGAATGCTCCAGAACACTAGTTCTCAACATTGGTTACGGATTCTACTTTCTATTTATTTATTTTAGTTTTTTAAAAATATGTTTTTATTTATTTTAGAGAGACAGGATGGGAAAGGGAGATAAAAACATTGATGAGAGAGAAACATCGGTGAGCTGCATCCTGCATGCCCCCTACTGGTGCATGAGATGATGCCCAACCAACTGAGGCACACCAGCCAGGTGTGTTTTCAAAAAATTATTTATTGCCGGGACCGGTTTGGCTCAGTGGATAGAGCATTGGCCTGCGGACTGAAAGGTCCCGGGTTCGATTCTGGTTAAGGTCATGTACCTTGGTTGCGGGCACATCCCCAGTAGGGGATGTGCAAGAGGCAGCTGATTGATGATTCTCTCTCATCGATGTTTCTAACTCTCTATCCCTCTCTCTTCCTCTCTGTGAAAAATCAATAAATAAATAAATATATATATATATATATATATATATATATATATATATAAAATTTAAATTATTTATGGATTTTTTTTGAGAGAGAGAGGGGAGAGAGAGAGAGAGAGAGAGAGAGAGAGAGAGAGAGAGAGAGAGAGAACACATCAATTTGTTATTCCATTGATTTATGCATTCATTGGTTACATCTTATATGTGCCCTGACTGAGGATTGAACCCACAACTTTGGAGTATCAGGATGATGCTCTAACCAACTGAGCTAGTAGGTCAAGGCCTCTATAGCACTTTCATAAATACCAGTACACTCAGCTTCCTCCCTTCCCCACCCACCACCATTCAAATATTTTAATCTAATTGGTTTAGAGTGAGACTTATACATCAGTATTTTCTTTAAAAGCAGCTCAACTATACTGAATGAAGGTATTGTTCTTAAATATATTAGGTATGATAATAGCGTTGTGACTGTGTTTTTTAAAAGTTCTTCACTAGTGGGAAAACTGGTGAAATTAAAATAAGATCTTTGTTTAGTTAATAGTATTGTAACAGTGTTAATTTCCTGGTTTTGATCATTGTATTTAGGATTCTGTAAGATGCTCACTTTAGAGGAAGCTGTGTGAGGGGTATACAGGAACTCTCTGAACTACTGTTGTGACTTTTCTCTAAGTCTAAAATTGATTCAGATTAAAAAGTTTTTAAAAAAGAGTTCTTTACTTTTAAAGATACATACTTAAATATTTATGAATGAAATTATATGCTTGAGATTTACTGCAAAATAGACCAGTTGAGAAGGTGACAGGAAGTGGGTAGGGTATGGATGGACCAGGAGTGTTGACATGTTCATGCCTGCAGTAGGTGGGCGCTGAGTACATGACAGTTCACAGTATTTATCTACTTCAGGGTGTGTGTAAAACTTTCCGTCATCTATACTGGAGGAAAAATTCCCAGGTGATTCTGACACATATTCAGGGCCAAGAAACACTGCTCTGAGTCTTGAAAATGTATAATGAGAAGCTCTGTGTTATACTACCAGCTACAAACTACTTTACCAGCTCTTTAAAAACGAGCTGTCAATCTTTCTTACTACACTTTCCTAAACTACAGAATGACAGATATGGATTAGAGAATCTTTCAAAAAGAAAACAAGAAGCATTAAAAGTTGTATTTTTCTAAAGTTGTCTCTCTGAAAGTTAATGTCACAGTTAATTTCTAACACAATAGTAAAAAATGGTAAAGTCTTTCTTATGTCTACAAGGGCATTTCCCAAAGAAGTTTCTTTAAAAATGCTATTTCTATAAGATGTTAATAGATTTTACCTAATATAAGGGTCCTGAGATCAAAAAGTCTGAACAGTGCTGAAGCCGGTTTGGCTCAGTGGATAGAGCGTTGGCCTGTGGACTGAAAGGTCCGGGGTTAGATTCCGGTCAAGGGCATGTACCTTGGTTGCGGGCACACCTTCAGTAGGAGGTGTGCAAGAGGCACAATTCTCTCTCATCAATGTTTCTAACTCTCTATCCCTCTCTTTTCCTCTCTGTAAAAAATCAGTAAAATATATATTTTAAAAAAAAGTTTGAACAGTGCTGGTTTATTGTAAGATTCCTAAGAACTTTTAACAAGAAAATATGCATTGTGACTGTCCAAGGTAGTGATGGAATATGCAAAAAGTTTGATTTTCCTTACATGAATTAGTGCTATAGAACTTATTTTGGAAAATAGTCCTGTAGATCAGTGAATTCCAAATCCCAAGTAATGGAGAATGGCTGCAGAATCACTTGGTAAAATTATTAAAATAATGATTCACAAACCACAAACTAGACTATTAGGGGGACAAGAAAACTCACTAAAACAAACAAAAACCCAAGTGATTCTAATGTAATCCTGTTTGGGAGTAGAAGCTATGTAGATAGATCATAATGTAATAAAATAATTGATACTATTTGAAAGGCCACATCAATACCAGCCAATTTGAAAGTCTACCAAGTAAAAGACTTCCATATATGTATACATTTTATGAAAGATAGGTGCTGATATGCTGGAAGTTGTGGCAAATTCAAATCTACCAATATAACTATGATTACTTTGTCATTTCAAGGATGTACTATGTTCATTTCCAACAAATAATTTGCTGTGATTCACAACCTTTTCTACTTATGTGTTACCGCATGTCAATCTTCTTCTCTGGCCTGAGTCAATGACCAGAACTATTTTGTTAAACAGGGGGTGTCATTCACATAAATGGTTTCTCCAAGATAGATAGATCTTTTCTTTTCTTTATATGACATATTTTAAGGTGTCAGGAATATAAACCCCTTCTTGAGTGAAAACTTTGAAAAATGTATTTATTTATACCTTCGTGCACCCAGAGCTGTGCCATGCAATGGCCTGGTAAGTGATACTTTTCAGTGCTTAAAAGAAGTACCTGCTTACTGTTATTAATGATTACTCAGCTTCCTACCGTGCTCTTTAGTTATCTTGTTTCTTTCCTTACAAAACCTTGTGGGTCAAATTGCTTCCATTCAATAAGAATTACTGAGCTTTTCATGTGTTAACACAGTGAAAAATATAATTTTTAGGGAGATGTCAAGACTCCTGCTCTCAAAGAACTGATACCCTATTTAAAAATAAAATATAAATTACATAAAGGAACAAGCAAAAGTGATTTTGAAGATATAATGTTAGTTAGAGCAAATTAGTATGGCAGGACTTTAGACATTCTAAGAAGAGCTAACCCCTATTTTAAATAAGTCAGTCAAAGGAAGACAAATAACATATGATTCCACTTACAAGTGGAATCTAAATAACAAAAATAAATGAACAAACAAAATAAAAACAGACTCATCGATGCAGAGAACAGACTGATGGCTGCCAGAGGGGAGAGGAGTTGGGGGACTGGGTGAAAGAGTGAAGAGGGTAAGAAGCACAGATTGGCCCTAACCAGTTTGGCTCAGTGGATAGAGCATTGGCCTGCAGACTGAAAGGTCCCAGGTTTGATCTGGTCAAGGGCATATACCTTGGTTGCGGGCACATCCCCGGTAGGGGGTGTGCAAGAGGCAGCTGGTCGATGATTCTCTCTCATCAATGTTTCTAACTCTCTATCCTTCTCTCTTCCTCTCTGTAAAAAATCAATAATATATATATATTTTTTAAATCAATAATATATACATAAAAGAAGCACAGGTTGGAAGTTGTAAGGTACAGCATAGGGAATAAACTCAATAATATTGTAATAACTATGTATGGTGCCAGGTGGGTACTGGAACTATCAGGGGGAACTCTATATAGAGTATATTATTGGCTAACCACTAAGCTGCACACCTAAAACTGATACAAAATAACATGGAATGTAAACTCTAATTGAAAAGTAAAATTAAATAAACAAATAAAAGAGTTAACACTTAACTGAGCAATTTAATTTTTCTTCAACCCTTGGGATAGGTTACTACTTATTAGCCCCATTTTCAGATGAGGAAAACTGAGACCAGGAGAAGTTAAGTAACTTGCCCAAGCAATAAGTGGTGAACTGGGACTCAAAGTCCACATTGGTTTAGCTCGATGGACCACTCTTTTTCACCATCACATTTTACTGTTTGAAAAGTCAATCCCACAAAGAAATGAGAACAAATGTCAAAGCTCAGATAGAAAAATGACTATTTCCCATAAAGCTGGGCTCACTAGTTCTACTGCCCAGTAGAAAAGGACTCACGAGACACAGGTAATCACCATAACTCAGCAATGTTATTTTCCTACAATACTTACCTCTTTGATCCGCTTAACCAAAGCATTCTGATCAAAAGCAACGGCCTCTGCACACTGATGGAGGTGATCCTGATATCGGAGGCAGAGCTGCAACACCTGCTGAGAATCCAATTTCTCCAATTTGGCATTTGTTGGGGAAGTCTGGCCACTCAATAGCCCTTCAAAGCAGAAAAAAAGAATGAAATCAAATGAAATGAAAGATACTGTTAATAAGCTGATGAATAAAGTAGCTCAATAGTAAGTTTACTAAAGACTGGGTAAGAGACCTAAATTTAATGGTGCATCTTTTGTTATATACTAATGACAATCAAAGCAACTATCATTTATGGAGAATCTACTATGTGCCAAGCACTGGCCAAGTGCTTCCTGTGCATTATTATATACTCTTAATCACCACGGAAAACAAAGTATTGTTAGCCCCAATTTACAGATGAGGAATCCAAGACACAGAGAGGTTAAGTAACCTCCCTAAAGTCACAGAGCTAGGAGTGGCTTCTCCAAGACAAAACTCCCGACCTTACGGCACCATTTCAAAATATCAGGAATATAAATCCCTTCTTGATTGAAAACTTTGGAAGATGTATTTACTAAATTCCTTTTAATAATTCAAATGGTTGTCTGAGAAACTGAAAAAAAGAAATAAAATGGATAAGGAAGTTGTTAGGAGGAGATGTAAAATGAAAACATTTAAAAAGTGAACAGGGTATCAGCTGACACAACCATAAACCTCATTCTTCACATTTTCTTCCAACAAAAGTTTAGTTGTCGCCCTGACCGGTTTAGCTCAGTGGATGGAGCGTCAGCCTGCGGACTGAAGGGTCCTGGGTTTGATTCCGGTCAAGGGCATGCACCTTGGTTGCAGGTACATTCCCAGTAGGGGGTGTGCGGGAGGCAGCTGATCGATGTTTCTAACTCTCTATCCCTCTCCCTCTCTGTAAAAAATCAATAAAATATATTTAAAAAAAAAAAAGTTTAGTTGTCTAATTACTAAATTCTCTTACATTTGCATAGGACATTCTATTTTCAAAGCTTTTCATATAGAATTATCTCACTTTTCTTTAAAGTATATATAGAACAGGGCAATTATTAGCAATTATAGAAGAAGAAATCAATAAAAGAGGCTAACTGACTTGCCCATGGTCACACAGCAAAATCCTGACTAGAATGCAAGTCCACCAACTTTTGGCCAAACGCATTCTGGTAATAACACATTTTTTTGTTGTTAGGACTCCATTATCTTTTCAAAAATTATTTAAGGACCCCAAAGAGCTGTGGTTTATGTAGTTTATATCAATATTCACCAATTAAAAATTAAGCCGAGAACACTCTTAAATATTTATTAAATCATTTAAAAATAACAATAGCTTCATTGAATGTTAACAAAAAAACACACGCCCATATTTTAAGAAAAAAGAATACTATTTTCCAAAACAAAAAAGTGAGAAAAATGGCACTTGTTTATATTTTTCTACGTGTTTTTAATGTCTGGCTTAATAGAATACAGCTGGAGTTTTGTATCCACTTCTATGTTCAATTTGTTGCTCTTTCACATCACGTCACCTCTGGAAAACTCTATTTGCACACTTGTAAGAGAATGAGAGTAATTAGCAAATGTCTAAATATTACTGTGAAAACTCCCCAGGAGGGTCCCAGGAACCTCAGGGATTCCCCCTACAACACTCTGAGAAGCACTATGCTAGATCATGCTCTACCTTATCTGAGAGCCAATGATACAGCAAGAGGTACACAAAAATAAACATGTCTACAGGGTACATGCTGGGCATAATGAGGGTGAACCTACCCATAGCAAAGGTCATCTTGGGAACCTTTCCCCATTCCTGCCTCCAACCACCAATGTCAAGCCTTCACTGGGTCTGAGGTATGGGAGCCCAGGCCAGTGTTCCTTAGCCCAAGACAGGCTGTAAAATGAGCTACCCAGTTGGGTAGTCCCAATGAATCCTTGGGAGTGCCAGTCACTGCTCTCAGATCTTCACCTGGCCTGACAGAGCAGAGCGCAGAGTTGAACCTGAGGCTCTGTCTCACTCCCCAACCCCCCAACTGCCAGCACTAGGTCCCTCAGCTGTTCCACTGCTGATCCTAACACCAAGAGCCCAGTTACTCCAGTGGATCTGTCTCTACATAGCAGTTTTTGGTGAAGCTGGTAGTTGCAAAAATGGGAATTTATTTTTCAATTGTACAGGATCTTGTGAATCTATTTACCCAGTCTCCCCCCGAAGGTAAAATCTTGAAAAGCTACAATATAATATCACAACCAGGATATTGACAATGATACAATCTACTGATCTTATTCAGATGTCTCAATTTTACTTACATTCATTTGTGTATGTGTGAGTGCGTGTGCTGACGCACCAGTGTATTTAGTTCTATACAATTTTTTCACACATAGGTTCATGTGTTCACCATCAACATCAGATACTGAGCCATTCCATCACACAAGGGTTTCTTGTGTTGCTTCTTATAACCACATCTACCTCTCTCTCATCCATAATGATATCCACCTCTCTCTCATCCTTGCTAGGGGGGCATCCTTAACCCCAGCAAACACTAATCTGTTCACTATTTCTAAAACTTTGTCATTTGAAATATGTTTTATACATGGAATGATATAATATGTAACCTGTGGGGACTAACTTTTTTTCACCTAACAAAATATATTAGAGATTCATCCAATACAGATTGTCGATAGCTTGTTCCTTTCTATTTTTGAGTAGTACTCTATGGCATGTATGTACCAGAGCTTGTTTAACCATTCACTCACTGAAGGACATTTGAGTTGTTTCCAGGTTAGGGCTGTTACAAAACTGCTATAAACAGCAGTGTACAGGTTTATGTGTAAACATATGTTTTCATATCTCTGGTATAAATGCCCAAGAGAGCAATTTCTGCATTGTATGGTAACTGCATGTTTAGTTTTACAAGAAACTGCCAAACAGTTTTCTAAAGTGCCTCTAATCAAGAAGATGGAATTTTTTTTTTTTTCAGAACACTGAAATCTCCTAATATAAATACCATATCTCCTATAACTGAAAAAAACACAATTCCAGAAACAGAATTGGGAGGGAAGATACCAAAAGCATTTTGCTGTCAATCCAAGACTGAAGTAGGAAAAGAGAGAGGGCACACCATGGAAAGAGGAATGATTTTGTGCCATCAATAGGAGGCCAGGACAATGCAGAGGCCAGAAGGGAAACAATGATAAATCCAACCGTATAAAAATCAAGATTCCCCATGGCAAAAACAGGTTAAAAAGTACACCAAAATACTGGGAAGAATATTTGCAATCACAAATGGTAAGCTTCCTCTTACATGTAGAGCTCCCAGAATTGGCAAACAAAAAAATCAGCCAAAGATAGACAAAGGACATGAAAAGGCATTTCACAGAAAAGGATATACCAATGCTTCAACTATAAGAAAAGATGTATAACCTTATTCATCATAAGACAAATAGAAATTAAAACTTTATTGCTAGCCCATTTTTTACCCACCAAATTGGTAAAAGTCCAAAAGTATGATAAAAACTCCGTAGGTGGAATTATGAGGAAACAGGCATGGCTGATTCACATGTAAGTCATTAACACCTCCATAGAGGAAAACTTGGCATGGACATCAAAATTACAAATGCATAAAGCCTTTATAGAATAATTTCACTACTAGGAATTTACATGTATATCAGCATGCATGTTAAATGATTTAAAAAATATATAAGATTATTCATTGCAACAGTGATTATAATAGCAACATATGAACAAACATCTCAATGTCCATCAATGGGGAATTTGTTAATTAAAACATGATGCAGCTATAAGAAAGAATATGTGACCATAGAAAAGAATGAGGAAGCTCTGTATGTATTCATATAGAAAAATCTCCATAAGATATTAAGTAATAAGAGAAAGGTATATAGGATAATGTATTGAGCATGCTACCAGCTCCGTTTCCCAACTGTCTAATTCTTGTCATTTAAGTTTCTTTACGTAAATATAAGTGAAAAAAATATATATATATATTATTTTATTGTTCCTCCCCTTTTAAAAATTATAGACATCATGAATTTCATTCCTAACACACCATTCTTCCATATATTTACGGCTAGTCTCCCATGTTAAATAAACTTTTCTAAATCATGTCTTCCTCACTATGCTAGGGAACAGGGCCATTGCCCTCCATTTTCTAATTCTTCTTTAGCTTAAAACAGTGATGATGTACACAAAGTAGATGTTTATTGAGTTAAGAACCTGATTTAATAGATTCCATATATTGAGTTGGTTTTGCAACTGAAGACATTTCCCAAGGCCCCGTTGAAACCACTTTGTTTGTACAGGAATAAAGTGGGCTCCAGGGAAGGGCGAGGACCAAGTCCGGCTATTACACAGGTCAGCAAACTGCCATGTGCACCCACCTCAAAGTGTTGAGGGGAAAAAATCATCAGAGTTAGAAATTTGGAAAATATTTTGCTGAGCAATCTTTTTCTTTCTGAAATGTTGGGTAGGGGAAAAATGTTTTTCTGAAATATAGTCAAAAGCCATATGGGTATTAACCTGGGTTTTTACCCAACTGAATTCCTTGACTTTTAGTGGCTTAGTCACTTACAGGACTAGAAATGAATATTATGAGTAGTGGGGCCCATATGAGAAACAGTATTATAAGTTCCATTTCCCACCACAGAATACAGAAAGCAGAATCTGTGTAACTTTGTGAAAGTATAATTAATCAACAGATTTTGAGAAAAGAAAACCCCTCTAAAACTAATAAAGGATTTTTAAAAAATATACATTGAGTGGTCAGATTATTATGATCTCTGAATCCATAATAATCAAGGCTAATATGCAAATTGTCCCCTCGACCAGGAGTTCGACTAGCAGGCAGGCCGGCCAACTGCCCATGTCCCCTCTCTCCCCCTGGCCAGACTGGTCGGACCCCACCCATGCACAAATTCATGCACTGGGCCTCACACACACACACACACACACACACACACACACACACACACACACACTGAGTGGCCAGACTATTATGCATTCAGAGATCATAATAATCTGACCACTCAGTGTATATATCTTTGATGTCAGAGGAGAAGGGAAAGGGGGAGAAAGATGGAAACATCAATAATGAGAGAGAACCACTGATCAGCTGCCTC